TTAACCACCTACCTCTTTCCAGCTGTACTCATAACCACCCACGTTAACCACCTACCTTTTTCCAGCTGTAGTCATAACCATCCACATTAACCACTGGCATGACATAGAAGTCCATGTGTCTCAGAAGATTAGTGTACATTCTTTCCTTTCCATAGAGTTGAGTTACCTGCAAATTAAAAAGCACATCTGTTTTAAGTCCTTCTAAACTTAGTCTATTTCTTTTATGTGCTTTCCCCTCCTCTCCAAAGTCATTTGGTGTGTTTAGATTTGCAGATTTAACTTTCAGGAAGAGTATTAATTCCTCAAAGGACTGAATTTAGGGTACTCTGCTACCAAGTGATGGTAAATGCCTTGGACACAGGACACACAGTCTTCCTATTTAATAGAGGCAGAAAATAGAATCATAAATTTTTAAAACTTCCCTTCTAAAAGTAATTCTTTATGAAAGCCATAAAATAAGATAATAAAGCTCACTACATTCAAAAATTTAAGGAAACAAAAATCTAGCTATACTCCAGCTCCCTCTTTAGTAATCCACATCAATCAGAGCTTAAATGCACTTTGTCTTATGTCCAGATATGATTAGATGCTATTTTTAAAAAAAAATATTTTACTGGGTTTTTCGTGAAAGTTTACACAGCAAGTTAGGTTCCCATTTGACAGTTTTCACACAAATTGATCAATGACATTAGTTACATTTTTCACAGTGTGTCAACATTCTTTTTAAATGTGTTCTGTTGTTCCATTTCCAGTATTCTAGTTTCCCTGCTCCCTTACCTTCACATCTTTGCTTTAGATTAAAGACTGACCTTATGGACTCATACAGATGGATTTTTAGTAGAGCACCAATAAATTCTATTTTCTAAATTTTGCCTAGAACTTGTTGTGGAGCTAAATTCTTGCTAGAAATGAATGTGTCTGTCAAGCATCAGGTCATTAGGCTTTAGAATCAGTGGAATCTTCTCCTAGGTACTAGCTATGACTTTCCTGATAGGTACCATCTTACACCTGCTGTTGTCTCCTCTAGGACTCATACCCGGCTTAGGGTCACATATTCCAACATGATATAAGGGGCATCTATATTCTGATGACAAACATTCACCCAAAATGACCAAAAGAGAGGCAAGAGGACCATAAAGACACATTTTAGCTGGTTAAATCATTTCATCTAGGGCTAAGTTTGATTTAAAATCTTCATTTATGGCAGCATTACTACACTTTAATTTTTGGATTAGTTTGAAATTGTTGTTCCAACCTTTATTCAAAGATTTTGTTAAGAAATTTTTTCATTATTGACAAAAGCAAAAGAAGTCTTTTGAATCCTAATTGTACTATACCGAACACTTTATCATTTTCCCTTTAAATATTTAAAATATTATATCCTTATTTCTCTCTAAAATGATCACAAGAGCCATATTAAAATCCTTTGTAATGGATTAACCACTTATGAAATATGGGAAAAGGGTAAGAAAAAATGCAAGGGTTTTTTTTGTTTGTTTTGTTTTAATCTACTATAGGTCAGAAATAGAAGCTTAATGAAAAGGAAGCAAAATGTATAGACTGAGAGAAGCAATCCCTTAAGTAGTAAACAGTAAATACATTTTTTATGCTACAAATTTGTAAATTTGGGTTGGAGACGTTTTTCAGCAATCACCTGGCATTTGTTATCAGAAAAAGATTGTTGTTGTGTGCCATTGAGTCAATTCTGACTCGTAGTGACCCTGTAGGACAGAGCAGAACTGCTCCATAGGGTTTTCTAGGCTGTAATCTTTATGGGAGTAGATTGCCAGGTCTGTTCTCCCATGGAGCAGCTGGTGGGTTTGAACCGCCAACTTTTGGTTAGCAGTCGAGCACTTAACTGTTATGCCATCAGGCCTCCTTTGTGGCAATAGAAGGAATCTAAATCTGCTCACGTCCAGAGAGAAAATGAATGAGAGGCATAGAGAGAAGCGACTAGCCTTAGGCTTCCTGAGGAACAAAGCCCTGGTGATTTACTTCTAAAAAATCAGCCGATGAAAACCCTATGGATCCCAATGGTTCAATCTGCAATGGAGCTTCTAAAACGTCCATTTTTAAAAAGGCTTATTGTTTATGTAGGCTTGGGCTACAAAAGCCAGGTTCCCATTGTTGGGGAAAAATACTAGACTGTAAGCTCCTTGGGCTGTATCTTTTTCCTCATTGTATCTCTGGGGTCTGGAACCTTGCAAGCAATGTATAAATATTTGTGGATTAAATAATTTAATCTTACAAAGATTCAGCAAGCTGGTGGGGTAAAGGGTAGGTTGGTTAATAACGGGGAAGAGGTGTTGGGTTGGAAAGGGTAGTGATTAGGGACAGCTTCACCAATATGGATTAGATTCAGTATGAATCGAATTTTCTTTCTGGCCCTTCTCAGGTTCAGTGATGGAATGAAAAGCAAGTGTTTTTCTCTCGTTTTGTGCCCTGCTCCATTCATGACCTAAAAGGAGTAAAACTACCGAACTTTAGGAAGGTTCTAGATGGTCAAAATGACTGGGCTGGGCTAAGGGTCTGGTCAGTTGGAACCATCTGCATTTGGTCAAAGAAGTGTCAACACTGGCTGGGAATTCTTCTGTGGGGTCTGTAATGCTGCAGCTCTGCCCGGGGGAGGGGAGGGTGGGAAGGCCATGAAGGTAGCTAGGGAGGCTGCATTTGTGAAGTCCTAGAAGAGGCAGGCATACTTCTACCTTCCACCTTTGACACTTACCTTTAAAATATCTCATTTGTTAAGGCAGCTCTATCTACGTGGCAAACACTTAACTTTCTAATGCATTCTTTTGTATTACTATGCGTTTGTGAATATGAAGACAAAAATGACCATTATGGGAAGGACACATGTTTGGAGTTATTTTTTCAGTGGCAAGTGCTCTTTATATAAATCAGGATAGAGGACATATATGTCCACCTTATAGGATTTAAAGGATAATTTTTACTGTTTTCATTTGCAGAGGTTTGTAGCCATTATATTTTTTATTTTAATGACATACTATTTGTCTTATATATGGTTTCCTTGATGCCAAACCTTTCTTCAGGGACAAAATCCCCAATTATGACGTGTGGGAAAATATGATCTGCTCTGTAATGTTGTGCTTTATGTTTCGTTTCCAGAGGCAGAAAATGGCAAAAGACGTCTGGATAGTTCAAACCAAAGGAAAAAGGATTAATTGGGATCCAACTTAGATAATTGCGTCACTTCTTTCTTCTACCTAGTAAACATATTAAAAACCCACCCCATTGCCGTCAGGTGGATTCCGACTCATAGCGACCCTATAGGACAGAGTAGAACTGCCCCATAGGGTTTCCAAGGCTGTGGTGGTATACTGGTTAAGTGTTTGGCTGCTAACCAAAAGGTCGGCTGTTCAGATCCATTGGCTGCTCCTTGGAAATCCTATGGGGCAGTTCTATACTGTCCTATAGGGTTGCTATGATTCAGACTCAGCAGCAAACAGTTTTTTTTAGTCTCTGTGGAAGCAGACTGCCATGTCTTTCTCCCACAGAGTAGATGATGGATTTGAACTGCCGACCTTTCAGTTAGCAGCTGAGTACTTTAACCACTGTGCAACCAGAGCTCCTTAGTAAACATATTACGACCAGCATATTATTTCTTAATTATTCTCCAGTGTTCAGCCCAGATAGAAATGTCGGAAGGAAAAGATTAACAATCTTTGTGTTGTTGTTGTGTGCTGTCGAGTTGTTTTCGACTCATAGTGGCCCCATGTGACAGAGTAGAACTGCCCCATTGGGTTTCCAAGGCTGTAATCTTTATGGAAGCAGATGGCCAGGTCTTTTTACCATGGTATCACTGGGTAGGTCTGAACCACCAACCCTCAGTTAACAGCTAAGCACATAACCCTTCGCACCACCAGGGCTCCGTCAACAACCTTTAGGAAGATTGAGATCATGGTTTTCAAACTTAATTTGGGTAATTAAGCCTCATCCAAGCCTCACCTCCAGAGATTTTGAATCAAGAAGTCTATGACCTGAATTGGCATAACAAAGTTTATTAAGAAAATGTTCTGCATCATACTTTGGTGAGTGGTGTCTGGGGTCTTAAAAGCTAGCGAGTAGCCATCTAAGATGCATCAATTGGTCCCAACCCACCTGGAGTATAGGAAAATGAAGAACACCATGGACACAAGGAAAGTATTAGCCCAAGAGACATAAAGGGCCACATAAACCAGAGACTTCATCAGCCTGAGACCAGAAGAACTGTATGGTGCCCAGCTACCACAATGACCGCCCTGACAGGGAACACAACAGAGGGTCCCTGACAGAGTGGGAGAAAAGTGGGGTGCAGAATTCAAATTCTAGTAAAAAACCAGACTTAATGGTTTGATTGGGACTGGAGGGACCCCGGAAGACATGGCCCCCAGACTCTCTGTTAGCCCAAGACTAAAACCATTGCCGAGGCCAGCTCTTCACACAAAGATTAGACTGTGGGACATAAAATGATACTCGTGAAGAGTGTGCATCTTAGCTCAAGTAGATATGAGACTAAATGGGTAGCTCCTGTCCAGAGCTGAGATAAGAAGGCAGAGAGGATCAGGAGCTGGTTGAATGGACACGGGACATCTGGGGTGGAAAGGACCAGTGTGCTGTCACAGTACAAGGAGAGCAACTAGGGTCACATAACAATGTATTTATAAATTTGTGTATGAGAGACTAACTTAAATTGTAAACTTTCACTTAAACCACAAAAATAAAAGAAAAAAAGGAATCTATGACTTGACTTGGAATAATACCTTAAAATAAATAGCCCATGGTGGCAGTGGTGGGGGTGGGGGGTGGTGGAGAAAAGAAAAAGCAAAATTAATTAGTTAATAAACTACTCAGGTCATTCAGATATAGGTAGTCTTGGGCCATATACTTAAAAGAATGTGAATACTTACATAGCCTATGAACCACAAGCAGAAAGCAGGAGAAATCCATTCTCTGGCGTGGATTCCACAGTCAATCCATACGGCATTTTTAGTTATTTGTCCTTTTTTGGAAACCTGCTCAAAGAAAATAAAAAAGTAACAAAAACAATAACTCTCAGGATGATATTTTCCATTTATATAGTGCTTATATTTAATTCTCTCAGCTACTCTATACAATACACATTGTTCTCTCCATTCCTTTGAGAATTCAAAGGAAAACTAAGAAGCTGGTGAGATGAAAGGGCAGCAGCTAAGGTCATAGCTGGTGGGAGTGGGCACTAAGGTTTGTCAGCAGGATTCTTGATTTCAAGCTCTTTTCCCCCCACAATTATCTAGTCATGTCAGAACTTCATGTGGCAATGGAGAAGCAGAGACCAGACTTTAGAGCTTCAGGCCAAACCTTCACATTAGAGGTAAATGGGTAGGTGTTGGGTGGGCCGCCTTCCCTAGGAGGCATGGAGATGCACCAAGAACAGAGAACAGAGAAAAGTCCATGGTGCCAGAGATAAACGTGGATTCCCTCACCATTTGCCCCGGGGTGCACAATTTCTATTTCCCCAGTTCACACGAAAAGAAGCACACATCTAACTTCACACAAACTGATTACAGATCTGAGGACAGAGGCCTTGTTCTGATTCACAGTATGTTGGCCTGGTCCCAGCTGCCAACTCTCTGCAGTAAGAAAGCTCGACCTTTCCTCAATGATAGCCTTTGGTGTCTTTAAAAGAACTCCCCCAAAACATCTCCAAACAATAAATCATAATTCATTAACATTAAAAAATTAGTGATACCACAATTTTAGGGGATGGAAAAAAGGGAGAAGAGTGTTGTCAAATCAAACAAACATGTGGAGTTGAAATTCTAAAATAAGGAGTTTTTTGCTTACCTAGAGCCCTGGTAACTCAGTGCCATCAAGTCGATTCCAACTCATAGCGACCCCATAGGACAGAGGAGAACTGCCACATAGGGTTTCCAAGGCTGTAATCTTTACGGAAGCAGACTGTCACATCTTTCTCCGGCAGAGCAGCTAGTGGATTTGAACTGCTGACCTTTCAGTTAGCAGCTGAACACTTTGACCACTGTGCCACCAGGGTTAAAGCACTTGGCTGTTAACGGAAAGGTTGATGGCCCAAACCTACTAGCCACTCTGCAGGAGAAAGATGTGACAGTCTGCTTTTGTAAAGATTACAGCTTTGGAAACCCTATGTGGGCAGTTCTACCCCGTCCTATGGGGTCGATATGAGTTGGAACTGACTTGATGGCAATGAGTTTGGTTTGGGATTTAGAGCCCTGGTGGTGCAATGGTTAAGCACTTGGCTGCTAACTAAAAGGTTGATGGTTTGAAATCACCCAGTGGCTCCACGGGAGAAAGACATGGCATTCTGCTCCTATAAAGATTACAGCCTAGAAAACCCTATGGAGCAGTCTGCTCTGTCACTGGGGTGGCTATGGGTCAGAATCAATTGGGCAGCACCTAACAACAACAGAGCTAGCAATATCCAACTAAAGGGCAAGAGAGAAAGTCAAATGACATTGGCCACTAAGGGTCAAATTGTACAAAAGGAGCAACTGCTGGCTGTTGTACTCTACACAGTTTCAAAGAAAATCCTGAGTTGTCTGGATTGGTTGCCTTACTTGACCATCTGCTGAACTGGGCTGTGCAAACTCTGTTGGTGCCGGGGCTGACAGTAAACAGAAGACCCCTAGAGACCCACATTACATGGACTTCCTTGGTCAAACGAGTGGGCTTCAGGCATCCAGGAAGCATGACTCCTACCTCTATGTCCCAGAAATGCAAATTCTAACGACTACATGCAATACCGCCAAAAGCAAATATCATGTGTGCCTATGTCATGATTACATGTGTCCAATGTGATTGACCAACTAGGCTGTCAAGAGCATCCAAGGCTTCATGTCTGCTTTGAGTTTCCCCTGCAAGTTCTTGTCTGAGACCGATTAAAACCCAGAAGTACTGACTCAAAGTCTTGACTTTGGATGGCCAAAGAGGCTCATCTGTTACAATTTAGCTAATGTTGGGAAGGTGTGTATAAATTACATGTTACTAAATCAACTATTTCTAAGGATTAATTTTTTCCATAGCTTCCTTAATTTTTTTTTTAAGAGGAGAGAGTGGTAAATAACAGACCTACAGAATTAGAAACTGTTAATATTCTTGTTGTTTGCTTTTGAGTTAGCCCTGACTCATGGTGACCTTATGTATAACAGAAAGAAATGCTGCCCAGTAACAGCAGAAATTAATATAGTTTATGGCTCCTAAAAATTCTTCTGGTGACTATGTTCACTGATCCTTACTAACGCCAAGTTATCTAAGACAGGAGACACCTGACCCAAGATAGGTAAATCAGATTTGCTCCCAGAAGTTTTCACGACTGAAAATAGATAATCAAATGGATGGTGATTGGAATAGAAGCTATTGCATGAGCCAAGGTCCCCAGGATACCCTGGTTCCTATCCTTCCCTGGGCCTCAATGTTCAGCCTTTTCTTTGGTTCCAAAAGCTGCAATAGCGTTTTCCCAATAAGAGACTCCTCTCTTTTTCTTTCTTTCTTTCTTTTTGCCTAAGTAAGCCAGTCTGAGGTGGTGGTGGTAAATAAAATACCAGTGAAATTTGAGAAATAATCCAGAGAAATTCCCTCATTTTATGATTGTAGGTGCTGAGCCCAGGAAAGTTAAAGGGCGTGTCTAATGTCACATAAACTGCAGCAGAGTTGATTCTAGAACTGAGGTTCCAACTCTTGAACTAATACCCATTGCCATCAAGTCAATTCTTACTAATAGGGGCCCTATAGGACAGAGTAGAACAACCCCATGGGGTTTCCTAGGCTGAAATCTTTATGGCAGCAGACTGCCACATCTTTCTCCCAAGGAGCTGCTGGGGTGTTTGAGCCATCGACATTTTGGTTAGCAGCCAAGCACCTAACCACTGTGCCACCAGGGCTCCTCTTGAACTAACGCTGCATTGTAAAAGGAATTTCTTTTAAAGGCAATTAAAACAAGCAAGCAAACAACAACAACAATAACCCATTGCTGTCAGGTTGATTCCAACTTACGGCAACTCCATGTGTTACAGAGTAGAACTGCTCCACAGGGTTTTCTTGGCTGCAGTCTTTACAAAAGCAGATCACCAGGCATTTCTTCTGTGGTGTCTCTGGGTCGGTTCAAACTGCCAACCTTTAGGTTAGTTGTTGGGCGCAAACCATTTGTACCACCCGGGGACCTTTAAAGGTAATAATCAACTCCTAAAGTGTTGAATATTAAAGTTGAGAAACACTTGCAATACAAATATTTCCAAGACTCAAAGAAAAAAAAATTCAGGTTATAACAAGCACCACTGGAGAATTAAGCCCTGCACAAAGCTGAAAGATCAATGACTCTGTCTACAACATACCTTTAAAACGTAAAGTGGGTACTTCTCATATGAGGATCCAATGTGGATTTTTTCAACCATATCAGGATACCACTCTGTTATAAGATCTATCCAAGAATAGATCTATCAAAACAGAAACCATCGATTAGCCCAAGAGCAAATACAAACCACTTCATGACCAAAGGAAACAGACAAAGTCTTCAAGGGAAGGAGATTACTCTCAAACTTTGTATGTAGATGGAATGATGAACTGAAATACTTGGGGCAGGTTTTTTTTTCTGCTATTTAGGAAAATCAGTGAAATTGAGGTTTTGAAAAGAATCACATTTTAGAGAAAAAGTGCAAAAGTACTAAGAAACTTACGACAAAGTAGGAAAAGTTGAACTTTAAAGTGTGGCTCCAGCAAGTTATTTTAAAAGGTTTATCACATTGAATCCCTGCCTCTGTATATGAAATTCTCCTTACCATCCATTAGAGAGTTCTCTATCACACGCAACTTTTTTTTTTTTTTAAATATTCACTTTTCAAGACTCTCCTAGGACATTGTCTTTGCCCAGGATAAACAGCAATACTGGAAGAGGCTACACAGGCCTGGTTCACTATTATTTACTCCCCATTGCTAACTGCCACATTGCCTCATGATCTCGTTTCTCCAGTTTCTACAAAAGGTTTAAGATTAACCGATGTTCCTCCTTGGAGGCTAGAAAACAAGTGATAATGATCTAAGGATGAAAACCAAACAAGGCACCCATCTTGTGACAAGAAAAACCAGGAAGTCTCCAGATAATCCCCAAGGATGTCACCAGATAACCCCCAAGAATACCAGTAGAAGATTAACTCATCTGAGACATGACCACCACAAGGGGAAACTAACACAAACTTCTAACACCCATAATCCTTTCCCTATAAAAGCCTTCAGCCGATCTCCAGTGAGGGAGACAGGTTTTTCTGAGGAATCTATTCCCCTCTGTCTCCTATATATCAACATATAATAAACCTCTTGCTGCTCACCTCACCCCTGTCTCAGAATTGACTATTGCGGCAGGCGGCTCCAATCCGCATTATTGCGGTAACAATACCATTACTTCCTGCTCGAGAGTTCTGTAAGCACAATAGGATGTGTAGAACCAAGAGAGGTAAAGGAATCTGGAAAAGAGAAAACTCCTCTTCTATCCTGAGAAGTAGTTTTATTCTGATCCAAACTATTGTGGGGAGGACCGAAGGTAGTTGAGGTTATATAGCGGAAGGAAAAACCAAAAATAAGGTCTGCGACTGACTTGAGGCTTATGTTCACTTCAAAACAGGCATTGAATTCTCATTTGGTCTGCGATTGCTGTGATTGAACTCAGTCATGTTTTAATGCACATCAGCTTCCCAAGGGCCCCGTTGAAACTCACATATCTTATGAAATAGGAACGACCAACTCTTGGCCTTATATCTGAGAACTTTTCTAGAGGTTCTGTTCTTCAAATAGCAATCCTGCCGGCTGGGAACTGGGGTACCATTTGCCCTTGGATTCTCTTAGAGTAGCATAACTAGAGGGTGTGGTATGTCTAAGTGGTTGTCCCCATGCTGGCCAATTAAAGGGCTTCTGGAAGGCCCACTTGCCACCTACCCTCTGAGTGTCTGTGGTATCTGAAATTTAAACATCAGGGATTTCCTCATTGGGACTCTGTTTCTTCTGAGGCATGAATACAACTGAGAGAACTGCTATAGTTGGGAGTCCTTGAGTGGTTCAAAGGGTTAATGAGCTTGCCTGCTCACCAAAAGTTTATAGAGTCCACCCAGAGGAGGCTTGGAAGAAAGGCCTGGTGACCTATTTCCAAAATATCAGCCATTGAAAATGCTATGGAGCGCAGCTCTACTCTGACACACATGGGGTCACCATGAGTCAGAATCGACTCAGTGGCAGCTGGTGTACTTGGTGTGTTTTTTTTTTTGTATGTTACAGCACTGATGGTTCAGTAGATTTCCTCCACCCCAGAAACCCTCTCAGGGGTAACTTTGTAAACCTGACTCATTTCACACGTCTTTACTTTGTAACACACTCCGTTTGTTACAAGAAGTATTTTATGGCCATTTGTTTCTCTTTCCCTACAGTGGATACTTGAAACTCCATTCCCTGGTCTGAACCAATGGCAAAAGCAACCCTCCGGCTCACCAGGTGATCATGTGAGCAGGGCTGATGGAGAGATCTCTGGGAGAACTGGCAGAAGCACTGCAGTGTTAAAAGACAAGGAAGGAATTAACAGAATTTCTTGAGAGCAAGATTGCCATGGTTCCTACAAACCTCTTAGAAAGGATTAGGTGTGGAGGGAGAGGGAAGAAATTTTAAAATCTTTTTAGAAATGTCATATACTTCCTCCCTGCCGCACCCCCATATCATGTCCTTCCTGGACATAGGGTAAGAAAACTTAACTTCTTTGAACACAATAATTTTTAAATTAAATTTAAGAATTTAAATGCTTCTGTTTAAGGCATTCTTTTCTCCCTGCCAAATTTGACGTATCAGTGACACAGTCACCTTCTCCATTTTGCAAAACATTCCTACCTAGCCTCTCGGCTCTTGGTATCAAACTTGGTTATTACAGTGCTGGTGATGGACGTTGGAGGTGGTCTAGGTGGAGTAGATGAGGCAGGAGAGATAAAAGCGGGGAAGGCAATTTTAAAAGAGCCACATCGTTTATCCAGGCACATGGATTCTAGAAGCCTAATGGGTTCTGGTTTAACTCACTGGAAAGGAACAGATGTTCCTGAAGATGAAATACAAAATTTACTTTATTACTTAAGTCTTACCAAAACACCAAACCCATTGCCATCAACCCTATTGGACAGAGTAGAACTGCCCCATAGGGTTTTCAAGGAGCAGCTAGTGGATTCGAACTGCTGACCTTTTTGGTTAGCTGCCGAGCTCTTAACCGCTGCACCACCAGGGCTTGAGATGTCTTAAAAGAATGGCTATGGCTCCAAACAGCTGCTGGGTATCCAGTCAAAGATGATAAAAATGCTTATATTAGGCAATATAACAATATTCTCATATGAGGAAAAAAAGGCATCAAGAGGTTTTATTCCTTGGGGTATTCTAGATAAAAGAGAAAGTCCTCCAGAGATTTACCCTTTTCAACTAACAAATACAGGGGAAATGACTTTGAGTGTATTGTATGGATGCTTCCTGATACTGATAAAACTGGAACCTGTAAGCACTGATTGGAAAAAAAAAAAATCCAGTTTCTTAAAGATTAAAATACGGGTATTATTGTTTCAAATAGATTCCTCATGGTTAGAATAAAAGACATTCATTCATAGTGTATTAACTGTAAGTGAATAAATTCCTTAATTCAGTGAGGTAACTTAGCAATCATTCAATGAGAATTCAAAAAAAAGAAGATCCAAAGAGACATGATCAATTGGACTGTTAATCTCTTGTGGACGTTTCAATTAAAAGGTCCCATTCTTTATTCTTGTTCTTCTTTAACATGCAGTGTTACTCCTAGCAACTAGAGATACTCTTAGCTTTGGAAAAGCAACCTCCTTAGAGGCAATATACGCAGTATGATGCAGTCTTTCTAGGGAAGATATATGCAAAAGAATGTGTTTCCACCTTACAATGCCTACGTAATTTTTTTTTTTAATTCTCCTCCACCAATTCTGGTTCTTTAATAATTTCCTATGGTTTAAGTGGCAATGTTGGTTAAAAAGAACAAGTAATTTTGTACTTCAGGTGAAGGTTTACAGAACAAATAGTTTCTCATGAAACAGTAGTACACATATTGTATTATGACATTGGTTAACAACCCCACAACATGTCACTCTCTCCCTTCTCGACTTTTTTTTTTTTTTTTGGTGAAAACATACATAGCCAAAGATACACCATTTCAAAAACTTCTACATGCACAGTTCAGGGACATCGACTACGCTCTTCCAATTGTGCTGCTATTCTCACTTTAGATGAAGGCTTACAGAACAAAATAGTTCCTCATTTAACAGTTAGTACACATGTTGCCCTATGACAATGGTTAACAACCTCACAACACATCAACACTATCCTTACTCAGCCTTGGGTTGCCTATTACCAGCTTTCCTGTCCCCTTCTGCCTTCTGGCCCTTGTCCCTGGACTGCTGTGCCTCATTAGTCCCATTTGGTTTTATGGGGCTGTCCACTCCCCGGCTGAACGGTGAACCTCGGAAATGACTTCACCACTGAGCTAAAAGGGTGTCTGGGGGCCATACTCTCGGGGTTTCTCCAGTCTCCTTTAGGCCAGTAAATCTGGTCTTTTTTCTGTGAGTTAGAATTTTGTTCTACATCCTTCTCCAAAAAAGAACTAGTAATTTTGGAGAGAAGTGTTATGGCTTACTTCATTTAGTGAGTGATACTGTTCGTAGTATGACGAGGAGGCCCGGGGGCTGACTGTGTCATTGGAAGTCTGCTGTAGAATGAGATCTTCAACATCTCCTATCAGGACTCTGGGGAATGAAAAAGAAGGTAAGCTCATTTCCAAGCAGGGCCTTCACCTTGCCACATGGGCCAGGGCTGACATAACAGGTGGCCATGTGGGAAAAGATCCTAAGAAATCTAGTAAGCAAAAGTTCATCTAGGTACAAACAACAACAATGAACACTGTTATAAGCTGAAAGTCACAAACCTTTTCAGTAGATCCACATGGGCGCTGGAGAGAAGGTAGCTCCTATGTAGTACATTTCAGAGCCTCCCAAAACTCACCATTCCCCATTATTATCACATTTCTCCAATGTGGTTCTTCAGTATCTTTACTATGAATGTACTATGAACATACCAGTTCCATACACAGACACCTTTCTCCAATTCGGAGTAACTTTATATTATTCTGTTTTCAGTCAATAGCTGCTCAAAGAGAAGCAGAAAGCTTTTTGTTTTCCAGTGACAGTCATTGACCTATACCGGCTGTTCTGTATCGCCAAGGATTATCACCTCACTAGAGAAACAGAAGTACAGGACAAGACAAGGCACAGAAAGGCATCTCATTAAATTTCTCTTGAGAAATGCCACAACTATAACTAGGCAAACATTTTAACTACATTAAGGCCTTCTATCGAGGATATGGACAATTTACATTGCTATCATAGTAACAAAATAACAAAGGTTTCTTCACTTTTGTTTAGGCCAATGGATAAGAGCCAAGCCTTCAACATCAGAAAGATCTGAGTTTGACTTCTAGTTCTGCCATTTTCTACCTGGTTGACCTTGAGAAATTTCTTTAGAAGTATCCATTTTTCATCTGCATAATGGGGACAGTATCTATTTCACAGGCTACAATGAGGATTAAATGATACAATGTATAGCAATGCTCAGCCCAGTGCTTGGGACACAGTAAACACCTATAATGTATTATTAACCCTTATTGTAGCATATTATTCAAACGTTGCCCATGGACACTCAGAGGAGAGCATGGTCTCCCAGAGGTAACAGAGCAACGGAAGGATGCTGGAAGTTGGGCAGTAGGTAAAGAAGGAGGTGTTGACTGGAGAAAGCAAAAGGAAGAGGGCATGGACTATGAACAGAAATCACACCTGATACACTTTTCAGTTTAGGACCAAATATTCAGGAGTGTTCATTGACCTTGTGAAGGAAGGAAGAATTAGAAAAGCAAAATCCTCTTTAGCAGCAGCTTTTTCAAGAGTTACCAGAAAGTCTACCATGGTAAATGACAATTTTATACCCCGAGCCTGGGCATTGAACTGGTCATGGAAGGTGGAAGTATAAGCAGCTCTGTAGATGTAACACTCATTTTCAGATAAGGGGGCCGAGTCACGAAAGGTTAAACAATTTGCCTAAGGTCACACAGTTGGCCACATGGCTTTATCACTGGGTCCATTTCAGAGATTACCATGTTGGTTTGTTTAATGTAAATATTATTTTTCCAGGAAGCAATTATATTATCACTTAGCATAATAAAAAACCAAATAAAACCAGTTGCCCCAAGTCATTTCCAACTCACTGCGACCCCATGTGTGTCAGAGTAGAACTGTGCTCCATAGGGTTTTCAGTGGCTGATTTTTCAGAACCTGATGGCCAGGACTTTCTTCCAAGATGCCTCTGGGTGAACTCGAACCACCAGCCTTTCAGTTAGCAGCCAAGTGCTTAGCTATTTGTACCACCCAGGAAATCCTAAACTGCATAATAAACCAAAATCAAAACCAAACTGGTTGTCGTCGACTCGTTTCTGACTCACAGTGACCCTACAGGACAGGGTAAAACTGTCCCATAGGGTTTCCTAGAGGCGCTGGTGGATTTGAACTGCTGACCTTTAGGTTAGCAGCTAGGCTCTCAACCACTGTGCCATCAGAGCTCCAAAATGCATAATAGGTGCTTATAATAGCTACTCAATAAATACAGAATGATGCCTACCTGAATGGAATTCTGCTCACATTTAAATGGGCTTTCACAAGGCTTACATCTGAGTCATTCACAAAAAAATGAACTTCTTTCTTCTTCACAATTAATTCTGCCATTGCTGGCTGCCAGAGAACAATCTGCAGTTTCAAGGAGAAAAAATGACAAAACAAAAGCAAAGTTGTTCACATTACCCTTATCTGTAGCTAGAGTCATAAGAGTATCTTTACAAGGGACATGAGAGGGACTCTTCCTGCCCATAGTTCTCATCTGCACATGGGGTAGTATAAATATTTATACTGTAGGGAGCTTGTTTTATTCTTCACTGTAATCCCAATTGCTAACAGGGCCTGGAATATGCCACATACTCAATAAATATTTGGTGAGAAAATGAAGGAATGAATGATAGAATGATGAATGAACGAAAATCTTTATAACTCAAATGTAAAACTAGATCTGTATGTCAGGTATTTAAAAGAGAAATAAAGGTTTTGTCTAGAAAGGAAGTTGGCTAAACATTGATTTTTGTTAATAACAATTCCATGTCCTTGAGATTATTCTGTCAGCGTTCCTTTTCTTTGTCCCTGGGTGGTGCAAATGGTTACCTTACTCAGGTGCTAACTGAAGGTTGGAGGTTTGAGTCCACCCAAAGGTGCCTTGGAAGAAAGGCCTGGTGGTCTACTTCTGAGAAATCATCCATTGAAAGCTCTGTGGAGCACATTTCTACTTTGACACACATGGAGCTGCCTTGAGTTGGAATTGACTCAACTGCAACTGGTTGTACTGATTCTTTTTCTTTAATCTAATTATGGACTTTGGGCAATGCCTTCCAGTTATAGTTTACATTTTTCTATTTTACTGTACTTTTTTCAAAGCACCTTCACACTTAGCTCATTTGATCATCATAATCACACTTTGCTATAGACTGGGCAGGTGTTATTCTTTTCATCATTCAGATGAAGAAACTAAGGCTCATGGCTGACTTGTCTAAAATCATACACCTAGAAAGTGGCAGAACAAGAACTAAGATTCTAAATCTGTTGCTTCCTGTAGTGATATTTCCTCTATACCATGGTGCAACCAGTTGCCGTTGAGTCACTTCCTACTCCTGATGACCACGTGTCTGTCAGAGTAGAACTGTGCTCCATAGAGTTGTCAGTGGCTGATTTTTCAGAAGTAGATTGGCAGGGTTTTTTTTTTCCAAGGTGCCTCTGAGTGGACTTGAACTACCAACCTTCTGGTTAGCAGCCAAGTGCATTAACAGTTTGCATCACACATGACTCCATACCATAGTGTGGTGGCCATAAAAATGCACCACTCGGCTCTTCTGTTGTGAGGAGCAGAACTGACAGCCCCAGCTGTTCCTCCTCTTGATCCACTGGAGGCTGAGGCCATGCTCCCTCAGGGCTGCTGCCTACCAGTGATGGGGCACCATGGGTATATTAATGCAGACCCACTCCTGTGCCCTGTGGTGTTCCTTTAACTCAGGACTTCAGCTCGAGGACTCCCTATTGACCTCCACTAGAACTGCACTGCTGTCTGAGATTTTTCATGCACAGCCTTCCTTCCTTCCCTCTCTCCTTCACAGGTGGCATACCTGCATGGTGGTCTGAAGGTGCTCCCTGCCATCTCCAGCTCCTTCCTCTTTATCCTTCACAAGCATTCCCTCCATTAAATCTCTTGCACCTCTCATCTGGTCTTGGTGTCTGCTTCTCAGAGAACCCTAATTAACGAATCTGGAACGGTCAAGTTTCTACCATTTATAACACTTGCCAATTTTCTACGTCTTAAGCATTATGGGGAGATGAGTCCCAGGCATAAAACTTTCAGTAAAATTTCCCATGTGCTTACTCCTTGTGCATGGTTGAATAGCATCCTCCCAAAATTCATGTCCACCCGGAAACCTCAGAATATGACCTTATTTGGAGATAGGGTTTTTGTAGATGTGATTAGTCAAGATAAGGTCATGTTAGATTAGGTTGGGCCCTAATCAAATATGATGGGTGTTCTTGTAGGAAGAGAAGAAACACAGAGAGAGACATACAGGAAGAACGCCATGTGACACAGAGGTAGAGACTGGAGTGACATGTCTACAAGCCAAGGAACTCCAAGGATTGCTGACAACACCAGAAGCTAGGAGAAAGGCACAGAATAGGTTGTCCCCTAGAGCCTTTAGACAGACCATGACCCTGCCAACACCTTGATTTTGGACTTCTAGCTTCCAGAACTATAAGAAAATAAACTTCTGTTGTTTTACACCACCCAGTTTGTGGTAACTTGTTACTGAAACCCTAGGAAACTAATATACCCCTTGACTAAGAACTACCGTTTTATAGGCAAAGTTCTATTGAACTGTTGTCATTGTAGAATCCCTGTAAGTACACAGATCAATCCCAAGGTACAATTATGAAACTGGCTGAAAAGCCAATAGCACAAATGAACAAGGTTTCATTTGAGGAACCAACAAAATCATGGGAGAATGGGGAGGGAAGAACGCTGTAAGAGGGGTTTATATCAGGTACATAAAAGTCAGACAAATATAGGGGGGAACATGGCACACAATGCCTACACAGATGAAGCCGATGTAAAGATCAACCAGGGAGAAATTACCTCGTATGTTGTAGTAAGATTTTGCAGAATTTCAACTTGCCTAGAGGTTCTAGGAAGAGCAGATAGAACCTGGCCACTGGGAAAAAATAAAAGAGATTGTGACATTAAATA